TTTATTTTTAACAACATTGTACTTAACCCCTTTAGATTTTTTAACCACCTTCCCACCCTGCACCTTGTAACTATACATTTTGCTTCGAAGTCCAACAAAATGTGTCATAATTTTACCGTTATTTTCATCTTTCATTAGACCCGGCACCTTTTTGTTCTTACGCAGTATTTTATATATGTTATTTTCAGGATAATCCGAAGTATCAAATTTACTGGAATCAGCTTTAATGATCTCCTCATATGCATCCTCACATTGCAATTCGTAGATAAAACTGACTGTACATGAGCTTACACCTTTCTGCACCCATTTTTGGTAGCATATAGGTGTAATGAAAATCATACATGACTAGTTTCGATAGGTCTAGAATTGCCTGCCCTACATACAGAGGTTTGTTAAACGTTATTTCAGCCTTGTTCAATTCGATAACCACCAGATTTTCCTCTAAAATTGTGCGACTGTGGAACCGAAAACTCGAAATCAAGTTTGCTGCCCCATAGCGACCACCCCAAGATTTAACGATTTTACATACGCGGTGCTTACGTATATTTTCCATGGTCTTACCGAATACTGCATTATTCATTAATTTAAAAAGATTTTTTTCGAAATCATCCTGGGCTGCAGCCCTACATCGAGTATTCAACTCGATGTAGGGTTTCAGCCAGGCTGCTTGTTTAAATTGTAAAATTTTATGGATTTTCGTTAACTTTAACCCATTAGCTAGCATTTGTTTTAAATTTTTATAGTGAACCGTGTACTCTTTTTTATCCGTAAGTGTTGTCATTAATTTCGGCAATTTTACCCCGCCGTCGCTGGGTGGTACGCTACGTTCTGCCGCAAACGGAAAATCTTTGTGTTTATCGTGCAGTTCTTGTGGGTACGATAGATCGACTTGTAGCACGTACCCTACGTCAGAGTCGTCGGGTATTGACATCACATCAAACGATGTTACATCATCTACCCATTTGAACCCTCCGTAGGGTAAGGGTTGCTGCATAGCATTCCCATATAAGTTATTCACATCCAGGTACATAAGGTACTTGGACGGCTTTTCAGGATCATATTCGGGCATATATTTATTGTTGGCCTCCGAAAATCGGTTGCTACACACCGAAATTCCACCTCTTATAGCATTTTCGTAAAACATCACCATATCTAGATCCTTTAGTAGTTCTAACTTACACCCAGTGTATTTGAGCATACAGTCCCACGTATATCCGGGCATTGTATAGTACCACGCAGGATCCAGACCATAGGTGGAGAAACATTTTTTACGCAATTGCTCAAAAACGTCGGCAAGAAGCAGAATATCTGTTTTTAAATATATATCAGAATACTCTCCTAATGTTTTAATGTTAAACTGTTGCCAAACAGATTGCGCATGAGCATACTTCTCGTCACTTACACTTTCATCGTTTAATTTATTGTAAAATTTTTCAATTGGGGGCAAAGTCGTTTCATTTAATTTTTTCAACGAATCAATGTAATCGTAACAGAAAACTCCTTTCTGTGTTAACAATTTGAATTTATCTTCATCTAAATTTTGAAATTCCCTTTGTAAAATTTTCTTTTCTGATTCTGCTAAAATTGAAGCTAATTCATCAAGAGAAGCCCCCATAAATCGAAAAGAGTCTATAAACCGCAATTTAATGTTATTTTCATCTGAGTGCAGCGTAAAGGAGATGTATTTATCTTTGTTGATGGGAAGTAGACTTAAGCGACCTTTTTTACATAAATTCGAAATCATAAAGTGACTATCGTACCCACTTAAATTATGGAATATAACCGGCACAACAAACAATTTTCTAAAGTTCAGATTGCATGCTTGGTGTGCGTAACCTCTGAACTCTCCACTGAAATGGTTGTAATCTCTAACGATTATGTCTTTTTTTGTTTTTGAAAATCTCTTACCGCAAATATGACATGATGTTGCCTTACATGTGTCTAATTTTTCAATCATAGGTACGCTTGTTTTTATTTTTGAGTTTACAAATTGCGCAACACCAGCCATACGATTTGCAAACCAATCCATACAATCTGCACCTCGATAGCTCTCGAAATAAGAAAGGCTATCATCATAGCTGCATTTTACATAGAAACCAGCACTATACGGAACGTGTTTTTGATATTTTATGGTTTTAGTTAAATTTACGACGCTACTCTCTTTATGATTTTCTAATTGACATTCAAAATCTGCATAAACAACAAAAGGAGTATTTTGTTGGTATGTAAAGTTTTTAAATTCAACGCAGCTCTCTATAGGAAGGTTAATTTTATATTTATTAAATTTAGAACACAGTTTTTCATGTTCAACTAATTTATTTTGCTGATGGAAATAGTTCAGACATCTATCGCAAATAAATTTTTTCTCACGATGTTTATTTAACTGGCTACTAATAAGACGCGAAAGATTTTTAATCCAACAATAGTGATATTTAATTTCATCGATTGAATCATTATCTTCATTTGCTGGCGCTGGTGGAGGGGCATCATAATCATTTAAACGCGGATAATATTTATTTTGAGCTAAAAGTAAATTAACATGCGTATCCCGTTTATTTTCCGTTAATCTTGCTGGTACTACTATGTAAAATGATTTTTTTTCTGTTTCAATCAATTCTAAAGCGTAAACATTGACTGAAATATTATTCATCTTTTCAAATTTTGAAATTTTTGTTAGCAGCATAGGACTATCTAAATTTTCTGTTTGTAAAACGTCAGTAAAGTGTGGATATGAGGAGGTTAGTTCTGCATGTCGTTTATTGCTAGGAGTCCGAAGAGCGCTTACAATGGCCCAGTAAAAGCAATTTTGATCTATATTTTTAATGTTTATACAAGCATTTTTCCTTATAATCGGTTCTGGTAGTCTAATATAAGATGAACCGTTTCCCAATTGATATTTACTGATATTAACAACTAAGGAAATAATTTTATTTAACGCAAATCCCGAATCTTTTTCAGCAAATTCCGATAATTCGTTTAAAAGTTTATCTTTAACATATATCTTAAACCACTCGTCTATTTGAGTTGATGTATCAATAATATGATTTTTAGTATTAATATATTTAATTCCCAAAATTTCATTATCCCCCGATTTCCTAATAAACTCCCCGCAAAATGTTGTATTTACTTTGAGCGCACAATGGGTGTTCAAAATATTCCTAATTTTCCTTTTAAAAACAACTACACAATCTGCTAAAAATTGATTCAAATCCTTATGACGCAAATTAGCTATGGAACCGGTTTTTATTCTACTTTGAAAGCTCGATTCTACATTTTCCCATCTAACCCTCTGACCCAATGTTAAGTGAAGTCCTGCCCCAATATGTCTAGTTAAAATCAACTTTCTAAAATGTTTAAAATGCCCCAAATTTGTTTCTACTTTTCTACAGGTCCCTACAGATAATTTATTTTGCCTTCTACTACGAATTACCCGTTTACATAATCTAATTTGTTTTTCTATTCGTTTCAGCCACACTTCCGCGTCTCTGATTGTAAAATTATCAAATAAAATTTTCCGTAGACTAACAATTGATAGTAGAACACCGTCTGTTTGTTTGATGATCTTTTTAACCTTATTTGAAGACATTTGAAAAGACGACATTTTTTTTTCAAGCAAACACATTACTCAAAAATATATAAAAATGCTCACCCTGTCCTCCTGTTCTCTGCTTTGTTAATTTTCCACTATTTTGAATGATGCTAGCGGTCGGCTTTTCCCTACGTCCACTTCCCCTTGCAAGATGATCGAGTATTTTCCGTGACAAAGTTCGTCGATGACCGGCTGGTACGTTTCCGTCACCCGCTGTGGTAGAAATAGCACTTCCGGTCCTAAATCTAGTAGCACGGCTTCCCCAAATTTCGACTTGACCACTTTAGCTGCTTGGATTGCAAATGGTGTCCCAACTGGTAGGTCCTTTAATTTTCTGATAGGTTTGCGGTCTACAATCGAAGACGCAGCATTAATTTTTGATAAATCCATCTATAAAAAAAATTGAGTCGTCTAACTATTTTGAAGCATAACACGAAAAAAAACAGTTGCACTTAGAGACATAAAAAAGAAAAATATTAAATAAAATAGCACTTACTTTTTTTAAAATTTTCGCTCTCTCGTCTCTCTCGAAGCACTAATTGTACTGCGGTCGTTGTTGCAGCTTGCAGCGTTGTGCGTTGAGTGTGAAACAATGATGACTATTGCATGCGCTCGCTCAATATAAGTACGTGGTTGAGATGACACACGCGTGCATGAGATAATTGTATCGTAAATATGCATATTATATGCATCATATTCTCAGTACCATTTTTATCGAGAAAACAACATTCATTGCGGTTGCAGTATTTTTTATATAATTTCTTAGTAATACATGAATGTATCGTTTGTCCGGCGGAAATTCCAATTACAAGTTGCACATGAGAGTAGAATTTTAGAAATATAGAAATTCGTGTATGATTATTGTATATTTGCTGCCTAATTTTTTTTTTCAGTCAAGATTTTGATTGGGGGGTAAACGAATTTATATTTGCTATCTGAGATTTTTGACATCATTCTCTATCAAGATGTTGATGTGGGTAGACGTATTATTTTTTATTTCAACTTTCACATACGTGCTTTGCAACGATTTCTCCGAAAAAGACGCTATAGTATACCTAACTCAATATGAACATATCATTGATAATACAACAGATCTCTCTACTTTGCTAACTAACTTGCAAGAAAAGTATAATTTACCAGTGGATGGATTGTTGAATAATGCAACAATTGAATTTATGAATCGTCCGCGTTGTCAATACAGTGATGCCGAATTTAGAGCAAGTTTTCCATTTCGGAAACATGACCTGAAATGGTATTTCCCTCGAAACACACCTGCGGCCCAAAAAGATGCAGAAATGGCTTTTCAGATGTGGCAAAATGTTTCAAACTTAACATTTACAATGGTTACCAATCCCACTCTATATCCTCCTGATATTACTATAACCATGGTTAGCAAGACTCATTATTTTAGAGCAAACTGTATGGGTAATGATGAATGTCCATTGACATTAGATGATGCTGGCGGCGTTTTAGGACATGCATACTTTCCTGACTCTAGCGGCACCTGTAGAGAAATCCATTTAGATATAAATGAACGCTGGTATTTTGGAAATAATCCTAATATACCCAAAAATCAAACTAGTTTTCTTATGGTGTTGGTTCATGAAATTGGACATGCTCTCGGCATAGCACATAGTGCTTCTCCGAATGCTATTATGTTTGCCTTCTATCAGCATGAGATTCGTGGTCTAGATGTTGATGATATAAATGCAGTACAATATCTATATGGGAGAAAACACAAATATGATTCAATCCCAAAGTCTACCACCGCATCAGCAATACCAAAAACAACAACAACTATAAGATCTACAACTCGTAAGCAGCCGATCCTCAAAAATTTGTGTGATATTATTCCAGATTTTATGTTTTTAGCCATTGCTCCAGAGTTTTCAAATTACCGATTATATATTGCACATGATAAGTTTATATGGAAACTAGACTTAAACGAAATGATTATCCCATCTCAGCCTGAACTTCTTGTCGATTATGTTCCTACAGAATTACGTCAATACACTTTACAACATATTTTCCAATCAACAAACGGTGACTTGATTACCATTGTGTCTCCAAACAAATATTTCTCAGCATCATTCCCTACCATTAAATTTCTTGATAATTTTTCAATTGATATACCCGATAGGGCTCGAATCAATGCTATTTTTCAATCAAACGCAGGACGGTCCTATACCTTTTATAATAATATGTCATATATAGAATTTTCTAACGATTTTACTGATGTGTTGAACAGAGGACGGATAAGAGACATATTTCCTGGGTTACCTGAAGATATTTCTCTCGCATTTCGATGGATTGATGGCCATATTTACTTTTTCCGTCACGCAACTTACTATAAATTTAATGAATTTACAAGAAAAGTTGTTGCGACCGGACCATTTCATTGGACTCTATTTGGAGTACCATGCCCCAGCGAGGATTTGTTACATCAACTAAAAACTCTGTTATCTAAACTTGTATCTGTATATCATTAAAAAATACATTTTTCAGAAAGCTATGTTTATTTCGTATTCAGCCTGTTGTCAAACAAAAAAAAAACATTCGGTTCCTTCGACTCCCCACCCCCCCACCATCATTCTACTACATAAAGTCTGTGTATCAGCACTAGCAGTGCTACAGTATCAATCATTCAAACCAGTCGCAAGCAATTGTTTTGTTCAAAAAGAGGTAAAAAATGGTAAAACCAAAAATAACCAGCGAGGAGGCTCATTACGAGGCTTTTAGGGAAAAAATTAAAAAACAACCAGAACTGAACCGTGAAATACATAATTTGATTCTTGTCTGTCATGAACCAAATCAGTTGTCGAAGAATGATTTGAGTCGATTAGTATCAACATCTAAAGTACTCCCTGATAATTACAAGAATCACTTAAAACAATCATTCAATCTACCTGCACGACCAGAACACAGCGATATTGATTCAGACGACACTGTAGGCAACTGAAAATTTCATACACACACACACACACACACCAATCAGCCTTATTGTTATATATACTATATGTTTCAATAAAATATCCATTATACTATTTTCATTTTGAACGGTATCATCCTGTATAATAATAACAGTACATCGTATACAGGTTATGAGACATTCTGACCGACCGACCGACCAGAGGAGCCCACCACGCTATTTAGGTCACGCCTTGCTATATACGATTTAACGATATACCGTCGGTCCATCGATCCGCTATTTTTCGATGCACCCCTGTATACACGTTGCCCCCCGTAATCCACGCCAACACCAGACAGGTGCGACATCTGGCCATCTATGCGCGAGATGCCCAACCCATCAATGGCAGCTGTCCAATGACACATAGATTCCGTTTGGTTTGTACAGCGCCAAACAAATCGGCGCCATCTATGCGCGAGATGCCCAACTCATCAATGACAGGTGTCCAATGACACATAGATTCCGTTAGGTTTGTACACCGCCAAACAAATCGGCGCCATCTATGCGCGAGATGCTCAACCCATCAATGACAGGTGTCCAATGACGTATGACAGATGACGTGTAACGCCATCTATGCGTGAGATGCCCAATGACGCATGACAGGTGTCCAATGACACACAGATTCCGTTTGGTTTGACAGCGCCATCTAGCGGCGGAATCCCCAACTCATGAATTTCGATTACAGATTCCGTCCAACAACCTATCAATGGCGCGCGACGCCAGCGCCTCTGGTGGCGGATTTTAGAACTACTGAGATCTAATCCCCATAGACCATCTACTGTTGTGCAACGATTATTAACTGTTATAGATCATCCAATCTTATTTAGAATGTGTGATACTATAGATTTAAGTCCAAGAACCATGTCTCTTTAATTGCTATTTTTTTTTCAGCGTTTCCTGTAATTGGGTTTCACCTGTTGGAAATAAATAAATAAATAAATAAAACGGTGGTCACAACACACCCGTTAATTGCTATGCTGTTTTCAATTAAAATGCTGCAAGTGCATTGCTTTGGATCTGAAAGGCGAGAAATACTACCTCAGATGCCTAATCGACCTAGAAATAACTAAAATTGATCGTATCTATGAGATTCTGAACTCAAATACTCTGTAACTCTCGTATTTCAAACATTCACCAGAATTTTAATTTTATCTTATTATAGTACTTGAATTTTCTCTAGAAGTTATAAAATTTGGAATTTTTGTTTAAAATCCATTGTCCAATGTTTAATTTGTATTATTTTTATATGAGCAGCACTTTCTACTTCAAATCTAGAGTAGAACACACGCAAACTTTTGTTTTTAATGTGACCGCAGTGCAGCAGCACCTTCATTTTTATGTATTGTTTTGTGTCTCAGTATGTTTAACTATAAATTTTAAGTGAATGTTGCGACTATACACCTCTATGAAAATAATAACCTAAATACCTAAAGATGAGTGAATTTGAATAAAACAATTGTTAAAATTTTTAAATATTTAAATGCAAAAATCTCATATATACGATCGACTAGGAGCTTTAGTTACCTCCCTTTATAGTACCGAAAATCCCCTTTATAGGTCCCTGTCTACATTTTTATCGACCTCGTACAACTCTTGCCTTTTCCGAGGTTTCAATGGTAATGATTCAATTTGGAACACCAGGTACCTATATCGGATACAGCTGGAATACCCCACTATATAGCAACCTATCCAACTGCCTGATTTATTTACGAAACATTCCATTATCCCGTAATCTACCAAACCGCATGTTAATGGATACATTTTTCCGCGACATTAACCGGGAACTTCGGAAAAAAAATCGTCAGCCGTCCGCGGTGAATCGATGCCGAGTACCGAGGCACAGAGGCGTAGTATAGTTATACCATAGACAAGTGGTTCTCAAGCCTGCCTGTTAGATTGAAGGCGAAACCGTAACGCTAAAGGATTGGGAGTGATATAAGTGGAGAAAATTCCTAGCTTCGACCACATTAAGCATACTTAACGGGAAAAAGTTACTCCAAAGTATTACCTGTCAGCCAAATCTTGAACCCAAGTACTCCTGATGTCTGTTCCGGAATTTTTCAAGAGAACCAAAGGTCTGCTCGTTGTTATCAACAAGGTGAAGGAAATTTGTTTCTATTGGTAGAAAACATTCTAAAGATGACTCTCAAAAACAAAACTAGGCTTGGAGGGATTTGAAAACGTTACAGTGATCGCGGCAGAACTTCGAGCGAAAAAGAAGGAATTCCAAATCGTCCCCATGCCCCATTTTTGTATATTTCGAAATGAGTATTGCTTGCAGTATTTGTCTCAGGGACCGAAATATATCGATTTCAGTTTTTAATAGGTCCATTCATGGTTGGTAATTTTTGCCTTCCAACCAGATTTCTGTGCTTCTCGGCTGAGGAACATCAAGACATCTAAGCAAGTACAGTGCATCTGATATAATCATGGACATAAAATGAAAGAATAAGTAATATCCTTCTGAATAATTTTATAGGATTTTGTATTTCTACTGATACATCTGCGAGGGAATCGTATGGTGATGGTGACATAGGTTACGTTCAACTTAAACTAGACGATAAAATCTGCCCAGTAAAATATAACATATGTCTTGAAGATAAGGTACGCTCCACTCAAAACACAGTGTTGCGTATATTTATTTCCATGGCTTTCATGGGGTCTTTGTGGATGTGTTTATACATGCTCGAACGATACAATAATGATAATGGCCATATTTTTCATGTAAACTATTAGAAGTCATAATATCCCATGTTTGTGTCGCCAGTGAAACCGCACATTATTTCACAACGGTGACCATCATGGTTGACCACATAACACTTTTGAAAACGTGGGACAGAAAACCACAGGATATGTTTCAGATGTTACATTATTAGAAGTCATGCTCACTTAAACAAAATGTCAACTAGCCTATTGATACTAAATTAATGATGAAATGCAATCAAACGACTTTGTGGAAGAACCTGTTCTTTGTCCTGGTTCCTGGTCACTTTAGGTTCCGTCATACAGAAAAAAAAAACACTTTTGTCCCGCAGAATCCAAGTAACAAGAATAGCATTTAGTTAAGCATTTTTTATCAAGCTTTCTGAGGTAACCCACATTATTCACAATTCTTGAAGGTACTTGTCATTTAGGTATACTCTCATAATATATTAATATCTGGTATATGATGAGTTTATTCAACTCTTTTCTGTAAACAATATTGTACTGAGTTATATATAGACAAATGGCTGTTTTGTTGGCCGCCTAAAATGGGAACACTGCAAAGGTACACATAACATTTAGTGTTGTATGGATTAAAAGGTGCGGACTGGTTAAGCCAATGATAAGTAACGAAATAACTACACTAGCCTTAAAACATCATTAAGGGTTAAAACTCCCATGAGACACATGTAGCGCCGCACCTGTTCACATGCCGTATTTTTATCCGCTCGTTTTGTTTTGTTGCTTTTTATACGATTTTAGCTTGGCGGAAGAAGTATGGGAGGCAGAGCGATATGCGGAGACGAGATTTAGCGAGCATGTTACAGATACGGATTCTAAATTATCGCGGATTAATTATTCGCAAACTGAAACTCTCTAGGGCATACCGGATATCCATCAGCGTATCGAGTATTGCACATCGCAACGGAATAAAGTACGGACACCTATTGTTTCTCGCATATTGTTTTCTTTTCGTTTTTAAAATTAATCTTTATCTTCCCGATGAAATATTACACTGATTTATTTCCATGACTTGTGCAGATAGTGTTATGGTACGATGTCCAAATGATCATGATCAATTAGAGGGTGATTAAAGCGCAGAACATTCTTGTTATACAGAAAGTGGAGAATGGCTCGCCCTATTCACAGAAAATGTCGAGGCAGATGATTCGCACGCTGATATCTACAATATCTACAAAGGGTAGTCAAAAAACAGTTTTTTCGCTTGTTCTTGCGGATTAGATTCCGACCTTGACCAAAAAACCTAAAAAGGATCCCCAGGCTTCAATTTAATCTTTATGGTATATCAAAAGAGGCTCTACTGTCTGTTGTTTGAGAACATTTAAAAACTACTCCTATACAGTTTTTCCAAATCTCAAGTTCCCCCTACTTTCTGAGATTATTTTACATACATTAGTTGTTTTGTATACAAAAATAAAGCACAAAATGTTGGCCGTCTGAAACTACCCCTAAGTGTCACAAAACTGGTGGAAGGAATGAAAAAACATGTGGAAGCAGCATAGACAGTTGTAGCTTTAGAGTAGGTCTAATGACTCAGAGGTAGTATATACTCCACATTTAGCCCTTTTCAGATACTTAAGGGTAGTTATTCGAACTAAAGTTATCTACTAACCATTAAAAAAATAATATTATAATATTATAAGATTGGACGCACTTAGGGGTAGTTCCGCACGATTGCCCTTGGTGCGAGGTGTCATCTCGCATAGACAACATAATGTATGTATGTATGTATAACACAATGATATTGATGCTTACGGTTTCACTAGAGTATAGAACTCTTCAATATTGTATGGTTCCATTTCGCATATATATATATATATATATATTTATGAATGGTTTTTCTTAATACAGGGGGTGCTAAAATGAATTGAAGATGTTGAGGTAAAACATTCTAAAGCTTCAGTGCAGAGTAATGTGGACATTTTTCGGTAGAATGTAGCTTATGTGATGGGTAGATGTATTTCTGACTTTTGCGAGTATTGCAACTGTGGTTGAAGACGTTTTTTCCAAACTTTTCTTTATGGTTAAAGATAGATAGTAGAGTGTTATAAATATAAATTCCCGGCAATGTTAATAAGCTGTTGACTTTAAATATGCTTCTACATGACTCTCTATTGGCTGCGGAGCTATTACCCCAAATTGTTATTTAATAAGACATAATAGAATACGCTAGCCCATAGTAGGTACTCTGGACAGCTTACAAGGGCAGATGACAAGTGAGTACTCGTAGCGCATAGCATGCTTGACTGAGTTTTGAAGCCATACCCTCAATGTGCTTGTCAAACTTAAGACAGCTATCGTATGTGACACTTAGGAGGCTTGTATCGCTTGCAACACATAGAGGTTCATTAATTAAGGGTAGTGCTTTGGTGGCATGGCTTCACTAAAATACGACACAACACGTTTTTTATATGTTGAATACTAACTTATTCACCAGCACCCAGTTTTGAATATGGTTTATTTGGGTCTCTATCAAGATTAGGATATCATACGATCCTTTATTTGGTATCAGAATAGTTATATCACCTGAGAGATGAAACTTACATCTTGCACCTTTTTCGTGGTGGTGGATATATTATTAATATAAATAATAAACAATGTTGGGCCCAGTACACGTATACTGCCTTGAAGAACACCAGTATTAAATGTCCGAGGACTAGATGTTATTCGTTTCCCTGATTTGTTCATAATTACTTTCTGTCTTCTATTACAGAGATATGATTTAAGCCAGTAGTACGCATTCCCTCGAATGCCATATTTATATAATTTATTTAGCAATATTTCGTGATCAATGCAATCAAATGATTTTGATAGGTCCACAAAAAAACCACATGCTGCTCCTTTATTCTCTCGGTACCATTTTGAATGTTTCTGGGAATTCCCCTTCACTAAGGGATGTGTGATTGGAGCTAAAAATATCTTTTTATTTTTTAGTTCTAGGTCGCATTCTTAACTCAAATTTGGTTGTTTTGAGAGGAGTTTTGGAGCAGCTTCGATAGAGCTTTTATTGAAATGGTTGGCTAAAGCATTTACATCATTATGTACCGGTAAGACAAACTGATCTGACGATGTTTTGTGTCTGCTAGTTAGTTCTCGCACTGCATTCCTAATTCATTTAACTCTATTGCCATGATTATTTACTTTGTTTAAATAGTATTGCGATTTTGAATCTTTTAAGAGTTCTTCATATATCTGATTGTAATATCTTTATATTTTATGTCGTTTTGGGAAATCATTTGAAGAGCATTCACCCTGTACCTGGGTCGATCCAATTGTGGCGGTAATCCAAGGAGGTTTCTTGCATTTCGCAGCTTGCTTTTCTATCTTCAGAAGAAAATAGTAAATGAAACTGGTTTTTATTATCTGAGAAAATATATCCCACTTTTTGTTTACGTTGACACTACTACAACTTTCGTTCCATGATGCTGATTTTAGATCTTGTAGAAAACTATTTATATGTTAGTCAGAAAACACTCTAATCAATTTGGATTAATGGTCGATATTGGTATTGAGCGAAAAGAGGGTATGTTGCCCTTTGTGGTCAGAAAAAAGTGTATCAATAATTTTAGACTGAAAGTTCACATCTGTGTTAATGAAAATGTGGCCCAAACATGATGGAATCGTTCTTCACTCTAGTGAAATCGGTAATAGTTGGTTTCAAACCGTAGGAATGAATTATGTCACTATAGGCTGATGATTTAATATTTGTCGCCAACAGCTTTACATTAAAATCGCCAGCTATGACACATTTCTGTTCTTCATTACTAATTTTTGAAATTCTGGAAACTGGTGAGCGTTATCCTTCCACGATTGTAGAGGAAATCCCCAAACATTATCTCAAAATCTGAGAAACTCAACGGTTGCAGCTTCTGTCACCATTTTTACCTATATTCTGATTTTTCATCCCCTTAAGGCATTAAGGGGTGGTTCTAGACGACTTGGTGAGCGTTAATTTCTAATATCTATAGAAGTAAACTTCATAAATTATCTCTAAAACTGGCGGATCTCAAACGTTACACCTTTTGAAGTTCTTACCTGTTTTTTCACCAGCTTCACCCCCTTGGGTCTAGTTCTCGCTGACAAAAGTCCATGAGGTTCTCTTATCCAAATCGATTAATTTATGTCAAATGATTTCAGAAATAAAGGAAAACTTAAGATTTGGAAAAAGGGTTGGACTCCAGAGTCATTTCAACCTCTAAATGGAGTAATTCCTGAATGTTTTCAACAAAGAAAAATCAGTGACTCATTTGGTTTTAGACAGAGATTCAATGTTTGGAAAACCTCTTTAGGTTTATTTCCAGCAAACCAGTTAGCAATGGGACGGTAACTTCGTGTGTTTCCATCATTGAAATGGGTTAAAGGGCCAAAATGAAAAAAATAAGAAAGCATTCAGGGCGGCCTTTTTTAAACGACCACGATTTGGATCACGTGACGTGATTTTTCTCTATACTCCTACAGAAGCCTAATAATGTCTTGCATTCAAATTGAGGGGACACAACTGCACAACTGACCTTCGTGGCTGCTCTTAGACTAGTTCTACCAGTTGTATACTTATTTTGCCATGAGCATTGCTTTTATTCCCGCTTCTTCATAGAGTCTGGTAGTTTTACTTAGAAGAGTTTTGGGAAGCTTTGCAGAGTATGCAGATACCTTCGTTTTGACTAGTTGTCGCAAAATTTTCATATTCCTAACTCGTGACTTTTCCGCTCATACCGCCACATTGGAAAATAGTGTGTTTTTACAACATTTCTGTTCCAAACCTTTCCACGACAACAGTAGCTACAATTATATTGTACTAACGAGAATTTCCTACAATTAGTTTATTGAACATGTTACAGAATGTAACCCGTAAGCAAAACCGTTTCGTCGGGTTACGGTAACCGAATTCGTATCACTTTGCCATTTAAAAAAATTTATTCAAGGATGCATACCAATCATGCACAACCGACATAACACGCGCGTAGAACAGGCGATTCGTTACGAAACCTCGGTAAGGGCTGATTTTGGATTTGCACGCAGCTGTGGCTCTTTTTGTGACGTTGTCAGTTGTCTTTCGTGGATTCCCAGTATGTATTCAAAAGCATAGCATGGAATACAAGGCGTAAACAGACGATTTGTCAAAAAATAAATAGTCTCAGCGCAAAAGCACGGCAAAGCTTGCCCTGATAGAATTACAGAGGGGATCGTTCATTGCTTCAATGATTTGATTGGTTTGTCTAGAATGTTTCAAGAAAGTTTTAAGAAAACTGATAGTATGGATCCAGATTTACAAGCTTTTACTTTGCTACTGCCTATATTTGCCCTTACCGCTAGGATGTAAGGAAAATGGTGACTAAAAAAGTAATTTGACCATGTTTTTGAGTCGAGTTCTTATTTGGAGAAAATAGCTCTACAGAGAAATCCAAATATCACTGATCAGGTAACGTGTACTAGAGAGGAGCGTGATAAACGTGCAATACGTGTGTTAAAAAAAGTGCGTCGATGGCAACGTGACAAGCCGCAGCTGCGTCCGTGGCCTCGTCACTCGGGTTGCTAGCCAACGTGGTGTTTCTATCTCTTTCTTACTTACGTATCGCATGCGACTCGCGCTTGTCTATCATACACATTGCGACAACAGTGATAAATTGATTTATCTGTAAACATAATGACAGGGCACCTCATTTTGTGTATATTCCTGCCATTACTACTATACATGTCCCATAACCTTGCAGTCCAGACATCATCTTTAACATAAATAAACTTGGTATCCAAATTCAGTACGGACAGGTAAACACTGCCTGCAATATTCCACCGTCCAATATCGCTTAATGCAGCTTGGTAATATCGGGCCCTACCCAGAAATATCAACAGCTCGGCGCGGCTTGCATAAGACGTGTCGTCGTCCTGTGATGTTCATCCATCTATTGCGTGTGTATGTGTCTGGTTGTCAACCGAGTGAAAAATACGTCCGTCCATCCTGTCTGTATGTCCGTCCTGCTGTATATTTGCACAATTTGTTAAGGACTGGGAATTCACTGGTCAGGTCAGTGGCAGAGCAAGCCATGGTTCAACCATAGCTATCCAATTTTCTTACCACTTACTTTCTGTCTTTGACCGCTTTGTCGATCAAATCTTGAAAGGTGGTGACTGCAAAGTTAGAAATGGTGGATGCTCAGCTTCCCCCATTTCTATGGGGTCCATTAATAAACCACCCTAATGGGAAGCCAAGTGTCGAAAAGACAACCCAAGTTCATTTGAAACAATCTAAAAGGGAAAAAACGATGTTGCAGTACACAAATTTTCATTTCTACTAAATAAATCTTAAAGATAATGACTCCTCGCTCTAAAAAACAGTTTGACCTTTTTGGCAAAGATATTCCAATACGTTTGCAGTATAATGGCACCTAAAGCTGCAGACTTGTTTATCAATAAATACTTTAAGCAGCATTACTTTTTCAAAGCTACGTTGAGGCTTAGCTAGTACTTGTGCCATAGAAAAACTGGAATCACTGGTTGTCGTTCTTTTTGTATATTATTTACCGGTAATGCTTCTCCAAAATTCCTAGAGATAGGGTACGAGGTGGTCTTAAACAATGATAATTTAGCAACTTAGTTTGTTTCCAGCTTCAATGCTTCACTTACATTTGCTTATTTTATGCTCCCAAAAAACCTACAAAACCATCCATTGTGGTCTCATTTTCTCTAACGAGCAGTGGTAAATATCTCACAAGCAGATCAAGTCCCCCACGAATCTATCGATATTATATATTTCCTCACTACACAAACACGCAGTTTTTCAATATCTCAGATAACCAATAATCGATGTGAATTTATAAAATAGTAGAAATATAAGGTTTTTTGATTTCTCCACACTAAAAACTAATCAGGCATTCGAGAAACGTTAAAATTTAAATCAAGAGCATGATTTCGAATCTCTCAAAAAGTGGTGAGTGCTCCTTAAAAAAATTCCTTTACTCCATTAAACTTTATCGGAAGGTCGACAAACACATAAAAAACAGATTTTTGACCTTAGATGCACCGGATTTAAAAAAATCGGATTAACTTATTATATTGCAGATCAAATTCACTAAAGTGCAATTGTAACTGGTTACGCGTATCAAGCTACTGACGACAGACAAACTAGAGGAAATGAGAGGTTCTTAGTAGACAGAAAATGTCTTAAAGGTTTTATTACAGTCGGAGGCCATAATATTAAACATTAATAAGAGTGTTCCAGTTTTTCCAGTTCACTGTCGCAGGTCAACTTCGATACCATCGCTCCACCTCATAATTAATGCGAAGCTAACTATATTTTTTTTTTGTCTTTGGTGGTACTCCTCGGGTATCAAAGTCATGTGATATGATACGTGAATCCATCGACTATGCCTACAAAATATGAGTTTAATTATGACAAATGAATTCCTTAAGTTTATATAGGTTTTGTTGTGTAAATATAATAGCTGATGAGCTAGAGGGTAAAGCTGCATTATAATTTTAACACGCTGTAGGCACATCTACTTCCAAATCTGCATCAGCCTGTCAGTACAAGGGTGCCGGGCACATGTGCAAGAAATGGTTTTTCCCCTGGCAAGCAATATTGTAATCGCGAAAAATTTAGATAATAAGATATTGTTTATTGGATGCTATATAACAGGCACATCACTAAAAAACATGTCACTCATTTCCTTAGGTCTGTCGATCTAATCCTTAACGCATCTATAGTTTGGAAAGCACTGTGCGGATTTTGGTGAATTTTTACACATTTCTATAGTAATCAACTATCACTGAGCGCAAAAAGGACGGTCTTCATAAATTTCTTTCCTCGTTCCACAACAGTCAATGACAGCCAATTAGTCAACCTCAATGGAAAGTCCTTGGTTCAAGCAGCAAATACAAAATTTCTAGGAATTCCTCATAAGCAAACTAAGTGAAAGCCTGTCATCTGTTTGTTTCGCAATCTGTAGGCTCCGACAAGTATGCCCAATGACGGTTATAATTTCATACACAGTTTGCTTCTAGAGCAAAATATGGCAACATTAAGTCATTATATTCTTCTTTCTTATATTGAGAACAGTAGCTGATGTAGCACCGCGTACATCGTGCAAATAACTTTTCAAGAAGCATGAAGTAATAACAGTTCCAAATATTATGATGATGACTATTAATGCACATACAATCAAATTTATATAACTTTCCAGTCAATTCAGATTTTCATACCTGTAACACACGTAATAATACTGCAATAGTTACCCCTGCACATAATTCGTCCAATTTTGGGAAAAATCCCAACTATCTCGGATTGAAACTGTTCAATGAATTAGAAAATCGTATTAAACATATTAATGATCTGGGCGTGTACAAAAACACGCTGACTACCTACTACCTGAAAAAGCCTTTCTTCAGTATGTCGAAGTATCTGGAATCTTGAAGGTGATCTGTTAGGCCTCTACTGCAATATTTTGTGTCCGGAGGTGGCCTGACTCTTCTGTCAAATTATAAATATGTATCATACTATCCTTTGAGTGTGCATCGACGTTTCCTGTGTCATGTATTTGGTTGATTGGAATAAATTGATTATCATTATTATTATTACTATTTTTATCATTGTTCTTATTTTTGTTCTTATTATTATTACTATAACACGGACAAAAGAGCTTTTTTTTTGAAAATTGATCCAGTAGCGGCGGAGAAGAAGGCAAAAAATAAGGAAAATAAAAATCGATCAACCACCGTTTTTTGAGCTTTTTTCCTGATCATTTTTTAAAATTCCTTCAGGGGTGAATAATTTGGGAATGGGGGATGTAGAGATGTCAAAAAGGTAAATCTGAATTTTTTTAATGTCAGTTTATATATACGCTTCCCAATCTTGGTAATTACTCAGCACTAGAGCTATTCCACACATCATAGATTTACTCGTACATTTGCCTTTAAAACTTCGGTACGCGTCCCTGCTTCTGCTATCTGGGATCATCTCCAGGCGTGCCTTCTTGGTAAGTTTTCAGACATTACTGTTGCTGTGCCGTATCTCACGCATCGCGTCGTCAGGTATCGAGGACGTTGTCAGATAAACGGTACTACCGGTAGGGCAGGGAAATGATGTCTCTAGACTGTGCGAGCCTGTTTAACTGACTTGATCCGTTTAAATACTTGGTTATACATGTTCGCAAAGTTTGATCCGGATTCCAATTTGTTCTAGTGAAAACGTGCATTCGCGTTGTGGCGATAAACGTCGAGTGATAAAGGGTACCTTTGTCAAATGGCCAAGGTTACGGCATTTATTGTATTCCTTCCTCAAGACACAAAGCACGTCTCAAGGAATGATAAACATACCATTGGGACATATATGAAAAAAATAATAATAAATTAGATGTAATAAAGTAAACCAGGGTGATGCCATGTCTCAGTTATCCATCTGGCACCCTCCTTCTTTTATTTTACATGTTTTACTCATGCTTCTTATGTTCCATATGCGACCTAAATGTAGATTTGTCATCTCTTGAGTCATCTCTATCTGTGTAAGAATGTCGCTGAGTGAGGCATAAAATAAATACCGATACAAAAACCCATTAATCGGAAAGTTATCCAGTACTTTTTACGGTTTCATGTCATGCAAAACAAGTGAGCAAATCGTATGAGGACCATTGGGTAAGGTGAGTAAAACCAAGTAAGCACTTCATAAGCATTTACTTACGAGAAAAGTGTTGCCTTGAGAGTTGAAGCAAATGCTTGGCAATGAGTGAATAATTGTAAGGCATGACTCAGAAAGGTCTACTTGTTAATATTGAGGTAATACTTGCGGCGCGTGCAAGTCTTAGCTTGTTTATCCTTATTCACATATTTAAATCGTCCTATTTACGAGTATTTGCTTTGTAAACCTTACACGTCGTATGAATCTCTTTAGGTTTCTGTATCTTTTTGTTTAACTAAGTTATTTTTAATTCGGACACAAGAAAGCTCAAGATTACTAACAATTAGGATGTCTTCTAGTGTCGAAGAAAGTAAACAACCGAAACTTGTTTCTGATAACCGAGCACAGCTAGTCAGAATCTTGCAGCTAGAAAACAATAAAATAGTACTAAATAAGTCAATGGTACCAAAAATGGTTTCAGCCAAAGGAACTGCCTGGATGATAATTAGAGAGGAATTCTCGAAATATACAGGGAAAAACGTATCAGTTGAAAAAACTTCTTAACAATATGAAAAGCACTGTTAAGAAAAAAACTGACTTGTCATCAACAGGAAATAAACCAATCAAGTTACTTCAATGGGAAAAAGATTTTCGAGAAATTTTAAATGCTGAAGAAAATAGTAAAATACCAGGAGCAATAACAGTTGGGCTAGATTCCAGTAATAAATGTGTTTTACTTTCCACACAGTTAAATGTAAGCGAAGCAACAACAGAAGCAAGAAAGGGTAGTCGGCAGAGACATATTTTACGCAAAGAACATGCTGCAGATATTTCTTCCGTGTCCAGTGGCCACAATTCTAAAAAACAAAGGATGTTAGCAGCAGAAACAGAAGAAACTGTAGGTTTATCAACTCCTGAACTTCAACGCTTAGTACTACTAGAGCAGTTGAAACTAACTAGACTACAAAGTGAAAAAGAGGAACTCCAACAGAAAAACCTACGTCGGCAAGAAGACGAAGCTATTAATACCCAACAGAATGACGATCCTTTAGTTAATTCGGAATTTAGATTGCAAGATCTTCTTTTGTTAAAGTAGGTTTTCCAATACATTTATGAATAATTAGAATTTATCTATAATTTCTCATGTATAATGTGTATCAAAACTTTTGGTACGAGTAGATATAGTATCGTGTTAATTAGAATAACTGTACTTAGAGTTACATAATTTTTATTTGATACCTATTACCTATGATAAATACGTTGGAAACATATGTTGTTATTTAAATTGAATTAAACTGATTTATTATTTGGACTATTTCTAAGCGCTTTTCTTCACCAAGACGTCTAATGTCTCCTTGGTCTTGCTCAACAATTTCTGGGACAGCATCATGATCGTCGTTATTATTTTCTACTCCATAGTCCCACTCATCCTGCGAATACTTAGCAATCTTATGAACTACAGCACAACATATGATTATTTTCGGTACGCTCCTTATTGCGAGCCTAATCCTATTTGCTAGAAGTGGAAAGCGCTGTTTTAGTTGGCCAAATACACGTTCTATTACAACTCTTTCTTTTGAATGTAATCTGTTGTACCGCCGTTCTAATTCAGTTTGTGGTTGTCCCAATGGTGTTAAAAGCCATGGAGATATACCATATCCGCTGTCCCCTAGCAAGCAAGCATTCCCTTTTAATCTTGAACAGCACTTTGTCTCCAAATCCTACTATCGTGCACACTTCCAGGCCATTGCACGTCTATACTTGTGATCCTTTCCATTGCATCACATGTCATCTGAACATTTAATGAAGCAACATTTTTCCTATTTACGTACTTACTCATCGCCAAACTGCCCTTCAGGTTAATTTGTATAAGGGTACAATCAAGTGCGCCAATTACGGTGGGAATCCTGTATTTTGCCATTCAACATGTGCAACATAATCTACAGTCTTACAAACTGTTGTTGTTTCAATACCAAAATCGTTTGCAACACCACTTTGAAAACCAGGGTCACTGATATACCGGAGAAATATATCAATATATTTTCTTGAGGACACAGCACCACCTCGAGTTTCGTTGGTTTCTGGTAAGAAATAGTTTGTAATGAAATCGATATTTTCATTTTCAAACTTTACGTATATTCATAAATGCTGCCATAATTTAGACACTTCAAATTATCAATTGCGGCAAGGTAACATCAAACCAACCTTGCGAAAATGAAAGTATTTACTTAATACTTAAAATTTTCCGGTGCTGTTATTCACTCCAATCGTAAGTGAACACTCAAAATAGTTACTTTAGGAGTAATAACTCGATATAGCAAGTGTTTGCTTGACAAGTACAAGTAAAAGTTTTATTAATCACTTATTACCAAGAATTTACTTTACAATTATGAAGTAAAAGCATTTACTCTCTTTTATTCACCTCACCCAATTGTTCTTATCCACTTTCTGAAAATACTCCAAAAATTTAGGTATGTATTTATGAGCGAGATAAATGTACAAAATTTATGCCAATAGTTACAGTGTGACCTGTTAAAAACCGTAAAATTAACTATATATAGCAGGCACTATGTTACGAACTTATTTCGTTTGTATACTGGGTGTTCATTTGAAAATCTCCCACCACGGATTTATCTTAAGCCACTTGTCAATAGAAAAAACGCCGAGACACGTCAAAAGATTTGTCAAGGGGGACAACTTTTTAACCAAAAACTTCTTCAACCTCATTCACTCTCTGACCCCAGGATCATATTCTCAAAAATGTTGAAAGATAAAGAGTATCGAGCAATAGCTTGTTCGAAAGTCCTCTATTTTGACGTTTGATTTTTTTAAATCGGTCAAATCGTTTTCAAGCAAATATATCACTTTTTATTCCAATAAGTGTTCAAAATGTAGTCCTTTATTGGCCAAACAATGCTATAGGCGATGTCCAAATTCCTGACGGATATTTTCAAAAACATGTTGTGGAATATCATGACAGCTTCTGATGATGCGTTGATGAAGTTCATCCAAACTTTTAGGTTTGGGAGCTAGCACAATATACTTTGAATGGCTCCATAGAAAAAGTATAATTGCCGTAAATCAGGAGATCTATCAGGCCATTCTATAAGCTATTCATTTATCTGAAAGCTCGTCGTTTAGCCGTTGCCGAACCGGGAGGACATATTGAGGAGGAGCGCCGTCTTGATGGAAATATACTAAGTGACATATAAATCCGAACACCCAGTTTAAATGGTTTTATTTTAATAAAATTTTGTATAAGTACTTAATGAAGCATAATAAGTAAATGATAAAAATTTCAAAATGATTGCACTGCTTTAAAGCGCTTTGACCTTTAATAATGTGTGGATGCACCATGATGTGCTACGCATTCTCAAACGCGCCTAGGCATGCTTCCGATCAGGTGGTCAATGTCCTCCTGTGGTATCTCATTCCAGGTAACCACCAACTCCTCTCGAAGTGCTTCTAGAATCTGAGGAGGACGTTGCAAATTGAGCAATCTCCTACCCATCATATCCCACACGTGCTCAATTGGGGATAAGTCGGGAGATCTTGGTGGCCATGGTAACAATGTGACATCATTATGTTGAAAGAAGTCTATTGTGACTCTTGCAATATGTGGTCGGGCATTATCTTGTTGGAAAGTTGGATCTGCCAGGGTGTCAAGATAGGGTAAAAGATGGGGTTCTAGAACTTCGTGGATATAACGCTGCGCGTTCATGTTACCTCTGATGAAGATTAAAGGTGGCCTGGAACCATAAGCTATAGCACCCCAAACCATAACTCCAACAGTGTGATGA